AAAAAAAAAAAAAAAAAAAAAAAAAAAGAGGGAACTAATTTGTAATTAGACATAAGTTTGAACTAATTTTTTTCTTATATGTATGTATATTTTTAAGCAATGATTTTAGACCTGTGGCCACAAGAGGGAAAACAAATAACGAGTGGCCCTTGTTTTATTTATTCACATATAGGAAGTTTGTGGAGAATTTATAATAATAATTTTATAATATAGTAATGGTAATGGCATTTAACTTCTACGTTTGTAATTTAACATTGGCCAAAAAATAAACATGTGAGCGTATCATTTAAGACCTTACTAATTTCTATTTTATAAATAATTTTAAGATATTGCTTTAGCTCTGGCAACCATTTGTTTTTCCATTCTAACATTTGAAAATAATAAATATTAAAGAATAAGCAAAATAGTCATCCACTCATCTTTAAATTTCAACGGATAAAGCTATAAGATTCTGCGACCAAAAGTTGTTAGATTCGGGTTGCAAATTGCATAAGAAAAGCTATTTGTTTGTTTCTTGTTTTTTTTTTTATTCTCAAAGGACAATGAGCAGCCATCTTTGAAAAATACACATATCTAAACTACATTTTTAAAAATAAGAATAATAATAAATAAAAAAAGAACAATTTTGGACTCCCAACTTTTTTGAAAATTTATAACAATTACGTTTATGCTATTTAAAAATAGTATAAATCTAACTAATTCCATCGGTTTTATTAATTTTTAAATTGTATAAAAATATAAATCGAACTAAAGCTATAAATATAAGAATAAATATACACTAAAATATAAATAAAATCTATAAACAAATTAATGAATTAAATATCGAGAGAAAACAGGGAGGCGAGAGAATAATGCATGTTGGATAATGACAATATTATCTTATACGGATGGGGCCCCACTGTCAAATGTACATCGTTAATAGAGAGATTAATTAATGCATGTTGGAAATAGACCAATTAATTAAATTTTTTTAAAACTAGAGATATGTAGGACTCACCTCCAAAGGAAAGCCCTCCAAAAACACGGTATTCTTTAGTAAAAGGCGAAAGAATAGTTCGCTCTGTGCTCACCGCACGGCTCCGTGATTGGCAATGGGCCTTGGATGGTCACTTCATAGGTGTCTATCGTTTTCGCATCTTGATGAGTTTTCGAGGTAGGACAATTCCTACTTTCAATTCCTCTGGGTTCCCTTCCACAACTTGTATACCAAAGTAAATTAAATTATGACCATATATATATATATATATATATATATATATATATATATATATATATAAACTCGTGAGAGGAGAATAAATCTAAAATTAAAATTAAAATTAATTTCATTTATATAAACTCTACCTAAAATCATATCAATTCCATTTCAAGTGAAGACCAATATTTGGATGTAATGCAACACATATTAGAAGGCAATATATGTTTTCAAATTGAATTCTATGGCCACACAAGGCTTCCCACTTCCCGATTGTATCTATATTATTACATTTCAATTCCTTCTTAATACCTTATAGAAAAAATTACTTTTTGACGTCTCACGGTTCTTCCCATTACATGAAAAAGGGAAGTAGGTGGAACATGAATGAAGGATTGAATCCCTTCACGTCTTTTATTAAGATAAAGTTGAAAAGAAAAATAAAAATCCAAACCAGAGAAGTAATTGACCTCATGTTTTTCTCTTCAATCATGAAAGAGAAATCTCTAGTTTTGTGTTTAAAATTGGAACATGTTTTCCAGAATCTGTAAAGAAAACTTCATAATTTATAAAATGCGAAAACAAAAACACCAAAAATGTCAAAAAGCACCATCATAGACAGAGCCTTCTGCAATGCTTCGTTAACAAAAATATCCGTGGGGGAAATGTTGTATTATTGATGTTTCATGTTGTAACTCGTTAGACAAGTGTGACACAGAAACATAACCATAATAACGGTATAAATGAGTACATTGTGCCAACAACTAGGTGGCCGCCACAGGAACACCCTACAGTCGGTTTATTGGAAAATACCTGAGAAGACGATGAATACCATTCTACATATCGACTGTGATCTTCTGGTCAAGATTAGAGAACTCTTCGTAATAGGCCTTAAAATGCTCATATGAGTGGTCGACATCATCTGTAGCACACATTTCCCGAATACTGTGCATTGATAGCTGTGGTGCTCCAACGTCTACTGTTCGTATACCTACACCGCTTGCAAGAATGGGGCCGATGGTTGAACCACAAGCCATGTCATTACGAACCACAAAATCCTGCAAGAGTTGATGACCATTTTTATCATTAGAAACGATTTTCATATAACAATCCTATTCCTTCCAGAATGCAAGATTGTGCATGATTTACAACTGTTTAGTAAAACGTTACACTCAAAATTTATGAAGTCCAAAATATACATGCTAGCAATGCAAATTTTGGCTCCTAGAATTTTCCAAGTTCTTTTTCACAGCGCTGATTTTCATTCCTCTTGAAGTGCTTAAAATGCAGTGTCAAAGAACAGGGGGTCTGTCGTCTCTTCCTACTCCGATAATTGAGCCCTAACTCTAAGAATATTTGATGCCATAGAGAAACGGAAAAAATGTGGAAACATAACAGACCTGAACAGGAATGTTATGATTCACAGCCAATTCCCTGAATATGAACGAAGTGATTGCATTGGTTGCGTATCGTTGATTTGCATTGCTCTTAATGACCAACCCACCGTGCAACTTGGGCTGATGATTTTCTTCATGCTTATCCTGAAATTAAAGTTTGATATTACCACATAAACATTATAACCTTCCGGAAAATACACAACAAAGCGGGATGACAGTACCATATAATTAGGGTGTAATGCATGCGCCATATCAGCTGAGACCAGGAAACTTCTCTGGATAGCTTTCTCAATAAGCTGAAGATAAACCAGAACAATGAAAGTTCATAATTCAAGTCAAACTGGGTGGGAATCACAAATCAAGTCATACTCGTGATCACCTAGAGTAGACAATTTACGGCCAAATTCCTGTTAGAAAAGCATCATCCTAATATACGCTCTTCTCAATCAGAGTAACAAAAATTACAAAGTGAATGATTCGTTTAAGTTGGCATAGTTTCCCTCACCCTTTTTATAGAAACCAGGAACAGTGTAATATGTAAACTAATGTTTGAACGTCTTAAGATACATTCATGGCAATCCAATAGTTATAACTTATTCGTTGAAATAGTCCTCGGAAGCCCTCTAAATCGTTGGGGTATATATTAAAAAAAAGGACCCAGAAAAAGCATTTTGAGCTGAAAGAAAATGAGGGCATGAGTATGATAGTAACGCTCGTGCTTGTTCTCAGTATAGATCAAAATTTTAACGCACCGACTAAGCTAGAGCCACAAATAAAGTTAGCTCTCCAGTGAGTTAGTGACAAGTAATTATCATGAAATCACCCCCTATTACTTTAAGAGATCTCGAGAGAACAACTACTTCTTCAACTATCAATCAAGTGATAATTTTAGTTGGAAGCATAAAATGGTGTCGGTATATAAACCCACATGGAAATTAATTCTATTGGTGCAGATTTTGAAGGCCTAGGAAATAAAGTCATGCAACCGTAGTTATTGCTACAATCATCTTCAAACAAATAATCAGGAAAATATACAATGAGAAGTTAGTACCGAAGAGTCTGAGCTGAAGGAGTTTGTAATTCGTGATAAAGCATTAAGCATGGCTGGAGAACCAGCTCCCTGGGCTGAATTAGATCCAACCTCCTCATGATCGAACAAGGCCACCATTCTGACACCAGTCTCATGCTCAAGGCTTGTTTGAGAAGATGTACTGTCAATCAGCGCCTGATTTGTGACCAATGAAATAAAAGTAGGCGAAGTTAGAATATAGTCAAATGAAAAATCTGCAAAATCAAGAGTAACTAAATGTGGTTTCGGGGTGGAGGCCAAAAATGATTTAAGCAGGCAGTTGACCTTCCACGTATGTTAAGAAAGCCACTGGCATATAATACAGACCTTCAAAGAGCAAAATGACATGCATAAATTATCGAGCCTTCCAGAGAAAATGAATTCCTTCTGGGCACCACCAACCAAACTTGGTTGCATGTCACAGGCTTGCAATTCAAAATCGCATATGTCATCTGGTTCACAGCCAAGCTGATTAGCAAGTAGCTGCCAAGACAAGGAAAAAAGAAATTAAAATGCCCATGGAGCAAAAGTAGAAACGAGAAATGTCAAATCTTCTTTGCTCAAACTTGTACTTCTGTCATTATTTCTAAATTAATCCACCAAAATCCAAATGAGCAGACTAATAAACTATATTAGAATTCACTGTTCAACCCAAACACACAAGTCTTCGCTTTCTGATTTGTCTACCTGTAATAGAAGCGAGTGATGCTTTGAGTTATTAGGACTTGACTTCGATTCTGTTGTCTCTCCATCGTCTTGTGCATCATTCTTGGTAACAACTTTATTCAATTCCCCCTGTGAGCGCTCATATATTAGGGAGGAAAGATAATAAACTTATATTGGATGAAAAGCCAGACGAAGTTTTTGCAACAAAGATTTTCATACAAAATTTCAGCAATGAATACATAAAATATATCTTCTGTCATAAAAATGTTGTATCTGCAGCAATTAATTGATGTATATATAGATACATTTATATGTTTATACTTATATATATTTGAACATCCAGTAAAGAAAACTCTTAATCAATTAGGATTTCTTGATTTATTGAGAACTGTAAGGTCGTGCACCATATAATAACAGAAATTATCTATGAAGTTGCATAAAAGAAACTGTTAGAAATGGGTGAGAAGACGAAACTTTATGGATCAACTAGGAGCATGTTGAAGGTAAACTGCTCCACTTACATAAGCCTAAATTTACCCAAAAACCTAGTCGATTCTATGTGGGAAATGTGAACAACCTACGGAAATTACAGCTTGTTTATTGGACTAAAATACACTGATTTTCAACGGTTCAAAATCTATATATACATCAGAATAAATAAATAAATAAAAGGATTAAAAACCATTTTTAAACTGAACTTGAGTATTATTATAAAGATATCACACTTCACAGGTTATTCCACGAAGTCAAATAAAATTGGGTTTAGGTTGCCGGTTCATACTAGAGAGAGAGAAAAAAGGACAAAAACCACTTCCAGTGCATCTAAATCTTTCTTGGTTTGTTAGAGGTGTGAAGATATACTGGTTAAGAAATCGCTCGCTCTACCAAGAGTCACAAACTCCAGTGCATGGTTCTAACTGCCTGACACTTGATCAACAAGTGGAAGCATTTACCTAGACTACACAAATATGGTTGTCAAGCTCACAAGTTGAACCAAATTAATATAAAAGAAGAAGGTATATCCTTAGTCTAAGAGAACACATCTAGATAATCACCTTAATACTTGTTGCCAAGACTGGGAGAAGATGACTCTGTGTGTTGACCTTAAATCCATCCGCGCCCCTTTTCACAAGAAATAGAACATGAGACACTTAGTGATAGAAACTACAGGCGAAGCAAGCTCACAATAACTTTTCTATACACTAGCCAGCCTCACACCGTAACAATTAAACCTGTAAACGACACAAGGTGAATATTAATCTCAATTCAGTAGGAAAACCTGTCCAAGTGAATCGCTAGTGTGGGGATCCTCATTATGGGATCCTCAACTCGAACAAGTCGATGAATATATGATACAGAACCATTTTTTTGTTCCTTTATAACCACCCTTCCTGCGACTGTTAAGTCACGATCAAACCATGTGTGCCACAATCCACCCCCATATGTTTGAACGCCAACTTCCAGATAACCACCCTTTGTTACCTGCACAAGATTAAAGAGTACTGAGCGGCAAGACATGGTGGGGAGTATCATATAAAAATGAACGGATACCTTAGACACAGGCTTCAGTTTTAAACAAGGGCTGTCGGTATGAGCACCAACAATATGAAATCCATTCCCAGCAACATATCTAAAGAACACAGATTATCACAGTCAGCGAGGAGAAAAGACTAGAAATAGAATCAAGCACGACTTGGGGGTAGAATTTTCCTCTGCTTTAAAGTTTAATCAATACTGTACCAAATAAGATGTGGCCCTACTCATTTCTACATTCGTAGTTAGAAATAGAAAATAGAAAATTGTTTTCATATATAGAACCTAAAGGCCATTCAACTCAGAACTAAGAGCATGAACTTGATAGCCATACTTTTTACCAATCGCGAAGGCAACGATGGTCGAATGGTTTCTGGTAAAGAAGTACTTCTTTCCAGCTTCTAATTTCCAGTCCTCTCTTTCAGATACTTGTTCATATCCAACACTTCGCAGACGCTTCTTTGCCTCATCTAGAGCAATCCGAACATATAGAAACTATAAGAATATACATATCTTGGATAAAAATGATAAGCCAAGAGCTAGGTTATCGTGAAAAAATCCAAAAAAGTAATTAAAGAACATTTCCATGAAACATCAGTTAGCAAATCCAAACGTCAATACCACTGCAAACAACGGCAAGCTCGAATCAGTATGATCTTATCTTCAATAACAGAAATAACGAATAGGGGAAGTTCAGGAGGCGAATAAGAAGAGAATGACGATATCTCAAATTTCCGAGAAGAATTTCCTCAGCTGGCGAAAAAAACAAGGAGAGACGGATGTTCTGCGTGTGATAAAAATAGAGCAAGAAAATAGAGAAAGTAGTAGGAGTTACCAACGGCGTGGAAAGCAGTTGGCGAAGCGTTTAAGAACTGGAGAAGATCATCCACAACAGAATTGCTCTTACTTTTTGCTTCATTCGTTGCCGCCATGTCTGAGATCTCGACTCCTGAGCTCCACTTCACTGTCTCAGCTTGCGCTGGCTCCAAGGAAGGAGCTGAAGGTCAATATAGATTCGCCAATGACGAATACTTGGGCCTGTGGCCTATTAAATTCGACATGTCGTATCATTTCACCAGTGGGCTCCCTCCCACGGATAATACGAGGAGAAGTCTTTATAAAAAATACAGAAATTATGCCTCAAATTTCTGCAATAATTTTAATTTCATTTATACCCTTGCAAAATATGCATATCTTTATAATGATTATATTATTGTGATTATATAATTTGAATATCTTATATAAACCCCAAATTAGCTAGAAACTGAAAACATTACACTCAACCGAATTTATAAAAAGTATATTGAAAGTAGTACAATAATGAATATATATGAACACACAATTCAACGACGGATTTGAACATTTAATCTCTAAGTTAAACGTACATGAATTTAATACTCAAAATTCATAGAAAAACTTGACTTCTTGATGTCTTAACTATGAGCCTTGAAATATACCGTTTCCAAATCAATCCGCTGAAGATTCATCACTCCCGATAATAAAGAAATTATAACGTTCTATAGAGATATAGTTTCTAACCAACCTGCTAAAAATTTATCAACACTCCCGATAACAAAGAAAGTACAACGTTCTAAAAAAACGTACCATAATACACGGGGCTTCTTATTATTTTATTTATTGATGCAATAAAGTTGCATAGATAGGTAATGAAAATAGATAACCATGATCATAGTTTACATAAGCACTTACCCCTAACAACTAGTTGCCATGGCAGCATGGTTGGGTCTCATTTATATCATGGGTCGCAGGTTTAAATTCCCACCCCTTATTTTAACATTCTCAAAGAGAGAAACTAGATGGAAGCAGATGCCCACGATTATTGAAAAATTACTAAAAACGCGAGAAACACGGTTCTAGATATCAACTGGGATCATAGGAAGAGTAGAGAACTCTTCATAATAAGCCTTGAAATGCAGATACGAGTAATCAACATCGTCTGTACCACAAACTTCTCGAATACTGTGCATCGATAGCTGCGGTGCTCCCACATCAACTGTTCGTATGCCTAAGCCACTTGCAAGGATGGGGCCAATGGTGGTACCACAAGCCATGTCATTGCGGACCACAAAATCCTGCAATACTCATACTCTTTTACCACTACCAAATCATTTTCAATAACATAAGAATTAGCAATAAGAACTTAACATGTTTGATTCTACTCTACGTTAATAAACTTTAGTCCCTAAACCTTCACGTTTGTGTTTGTGTTCCTGTTCGTGTTCGTGGTGTCATAGACAACAACGTTAAAATATAATGTACCTGGACAGGAAGGTTATGTTTTAAAGCGAACTCCCGGAATATGGTTGCAGTGACTGCATTAGTTGCGTATTTATTATTTGCATTCATCTTGATGACCAGTCCTCCATGGAACTTGGGCCGATGATTTTCTTCATACTTTTCCTGAGATGGGAATTTGATATCACCACATTAAAGATTGTGATACAAGAGAAAAAAAAAAACACAACCAAATGGGATGGCATACCATATAATTTGGGTGTAATGCATGCGCCATGTCGGCAGAGACCAGGAAACTTTTCTGGATAGCTTTTTCAACCAGCTGTAAACAAACCAGAGCGATGAAAGAAGTTCAGTTTAATTTCCAATAATATGTCAACTTGAAAATTAAACTTATAACAAAGAATGTCAGAAGTGAGAGTGTTTATAAACTTAACTTTGAAAGACTAAAAACCAAATGATTATCAAGAAGCGCAAAGTTTTAAGTTCACAATCAGAGTAATTATATGATGTAGTAGTCGAGCATCTATCAGTAACTCGATTTTGGAGGCCTAAGGACACAAATGAAAGTCTCAACTGACATTTGGCTCAAAACAAAAAAACAAGGAAAACGAGCAAGGAGAAGTTGAATACCGAAGGTAATGGGCTGAAGGAAGTGGTGATTCGTGATAAAGCATCATGCATTGCTGGAGACCCAGCCCCCTGGGCTGAATTAGATCCAACCTCCTCGTTGTCAAACAGGGCCACCATTCTGATACCAGCCTCATTCTCAAGGCTACTTTCAGAAGATGTACTGTCAATCAATGCCTGATTTGAAACCACTTACAGGAGTTACAATGATACCAAATTAAGAACACACTGTAAAAGTAAGAGCAACTAATATGTGCCATGTGTTTTACACTTCAAATCCCTTTTTTAAGCACTTGAAAATTCATTCTAAACAGACCCATAAGCACGCTGGCACAATACATACCTTCAAAGAGCAAAATGTCATGCATAAATTATCGAGCCTTCCAGAGAATATGAATTCCCTCTTGGCACCACCAATCGCACTTGGTTGAGCATCACATACTTGCAAGTCAAAATCAAATATGTCATCTGGTTCACAGCCAAGTTGCTCCGCAAGTATCTATTATATATGACAAGTAAAAACATCTTATCTTCCTTTCTCTAACTTGTATTTCTATCATTATTCTCAAATTAATCCACCAAAATTCAAATTAAATTGGTCTCATGTGTTCAACTCGAGCACAGGTCTTTGCTTTCTGATTTATCTTACCTGTAACAGAAGCAAGTGATGCTTTGAGCTACTAGGAGTTGACTTCTGATCTGTATACTCTCCACCATTTTGGGCATCATTTTTGTAAACAACTTTATTCAATTCCCCCTGTGAACACTCATTTATTAGAGAGGAAAGACAAGCATAAACTTATACAGTATTTGCCACAAAGATTTGTATGCAAAACTACAAATCTCACCGCTAGCAGATATTTTCCGCTTTGGCTCTTTACGTATTCTCGTTAGCTTCACAGTTTTTAAAACGCGTCTACTAGGGAGAGGTTTCCGCACCCTAAAAAAGAATGCTTCGCTCTCCTCTCAAACCGATATGGGATCTCACGATCTACCTTCTTAAGGGTTCAACGTCCTCACTAACACACTGTCTAGTGTCTGGCTTTGATAGGCCCATTATGTATTGCTGTCAGTCTCATGGTTTTAAAAACGCATTTACTAGGAAGAGGTATCCACACCCTTATAAAGAATGTTTCGTTCTCCTCTTCAACCACGGTGAGATCTCACATTCAACAACAACAACGCAAGTGAATGCTAGAACTGATAATTGGACTGAAAAACTCAGATTTTTCACCGTAAATCACCTTAATAGTCGTGGCCAAAATTGGGAGAAGTTGGGTCTCTGTGTTCACCGCAAATGCAACTGCATCCCTTTTCACAAGGAAAAAAAGAAGCATAGAAATACTCAACGATAAAGCAAGCTAGCAAAAACTTCCCCAAGTATAATTCAGCCTCATGCCATAACAAGGAAGCAAGAAAAGGCAAATGTTAAGCTAAATTTAGTAGAAAAACCTGTCCAAGTGAATTGCTAATGTGGGGATTCTCAATATGGGCTCCAAAATTCGAACAAGTCGAGGAACATATGAAACAGAACCATTTTTCTCTTCCCTCAGAATCACCCTTCCTGCAACTGTTAAATCCCGGTCAAACCATGTGTGCCACAACCCACCCCCATAAATTTGAACACCAACTTCCAGAAATCCACCCTTCGTAATCTGCACAAGGTTCAAGTTCCTTGAGTGGCAAGACCACCAAGAAAAGTACACGCAAAAACTCGATGAAAATGCATGATTACCTTGCTTATAGGCTTCAATTTCAAACAAGGGCTATCTGTATGAGCACCAACAATATGAAATGCATTCCCAGCAACGTATCTAAAGAAGAGTACAAGACCGTAATCAACTCATTGGCAACCAAAAATGCTAGAAAAATAGAATCAAACTCGAATTCTGTAACCATACAAATCGAAAATTATGAAATCGGAACCACTGCAATTATGAAATCGAGAACCATACTTTTTACCGATCGCGAAAGCGATGATGGCGGAATGATTTCTGGTGAAGAAGTACTTCTTGCCGGCTTCTAATTTCCAATCCTCTGTCTCAGAGAGTTGTTCATATCCCACTTCTACCAGCCGCTTCTTTGCCTCCTCTGTAACATTCCGCGGCAGATTTTTAAACAATAATATTTCAATTTGATTTCAGTGGTAGATAATAATTATCCAAATTTATAAACGTAATATTATTTAATATTTATCTTTAATTTAGTTCAATAATTTTAAAATTTTAAAACTAAATAAATTATGCATCGTGGACTAAAGTCCAAAGTTAAATAGCTGCCAACCTCCAGCCATTCAACCACGTTTTAATATATTTAACGAAACAATAATGATTCCTTTCAAACTTTTAAAACTATAAAATACCAATTTTCTTAATTAAAAAAAAAACATTTAAACACAAGAAATTATGAATTTAAACTTGTAATGTATGATTGGGAAACGGAAGGGAAGTTACCAACGGCGTGGAAAGCAGTCGGGGAAGCGTTCAAGAAGTCGATGAAATCAGAGGCTACAGAAGAATTGGTTACACGATTTGGCTTCGCCATTGCCGCCGCCTGCAACAAGCTGCCCTGCCTTGTATTCTTGTGCTTGTGTATGCGTTTCTGCTTGTCCGCAGCCCATTAATATAAGCACGACATGGACCACGCTATGCACATGGGATAATGTTGATGCAAGACGAAAGCTACATCATCGGTCATCCGATGCCGTTCGTATATCACTGGATAAACGTCAAACAAAAAGCCTCAACAAACACACGTCTCCTATGGATTCAAATATTTTTCTACTTTTATTTTTATATATTATACCACCAATAATGAAGTCCGTGCTTTTCTTTTTATAATCATAATGTGCTTCTTGCTTGCATTATTAGTATAACTGACCTATGAGAATGAGGAGGTAGTTGGGAGAAAACCGAAGAATATGTATATTTTCTAATGCTTTCAAAATATTTAAAAATATTAATGTTAAATTCTTTTAAAAATAAATTAAGGGTATTAAAAAATGTTTTACTAGTAATAATTAAGAGAATTATTGATTTTTTTTTTTTTAAAGTTTGTATTCTTTTAGAGGTAGAATTAATTGGAAATTTTAAATTAATTTAGCTTTCTATTAATAATTAAATTGTCGTTTTCCTAAAATTGGGGATATTTGTAATTTCGCTGTCAGCTTTTTGTGGGGGTAGTTGTTATTATGGACACGTGTCTATTAACTTTAAGGCTGTGTTATCCAATGGGCAACGTGTACAATTATGCATTGGGCCCAAAGCTCTCCATTGGGCTTCCAACGGATGGCCCGTACCTTTTTTGTTGCTTTTTTTTTTTTTTTTTTA